GGTTTCCTGATGGAAAGTCAAGAAGTTAAGATTTTCAGTTTCTAGCTGAAACAAAGTCTTTGAGACTGAGTCTGTGTGTGCTGCAGAAGTTTGAGCACTTTAGTTTTATGTTTGTCACTTACTGACTGATGAAGAGGTTTATGAGAAAAAAGAAATCCTGAATGGCTGTAATAGAGTATCTTTATTAGTTGAAGTGTCACTAGTTCAGGAGATAAATGAACATTAATATTTATCACTCACTGTGTGCTATCAGAGATTATTATATGAAAAATTGCTTTTGCTTTGGTATTTCATCTTGTGATCTGAATAGATACTGTGAACTGAATAGAAAGTTTTGAGTAAAAAAATTCCCAAACATAGGTATTCAAGAAGAATTGAGAGTGTTATAACAGTTTGAAGTACAATATATAGCTAAAGAGATGTTAGAAATATCCCCAAATGAATAACCTTCAGAAAATGCAACAGTAAGATTACATTTAAAAAAATAAAAATCAAATCTGTGCAAAGTAATAAAACCTTCAAGTTTTTAAGATGCCCGAACACTTAAATCTGCCTTTGAGGTGAAGCCATGCAGCATATGTATGATTGTGATGATGGAATTACATTGTTGGAATAGTAAACAGACTAAATTTTTAAATTTTTATCCTCCTCTATTCTCCCTTTTATGATAACATTACAGCATTCAAATATATACTGATGCTTTGAGCTCACCAGCTTTGCATAGAGATGCATAGTACTATTTATTTAAAAAATGAAGATAAACTGTTAGCAGTATTATTCACTTTCTTAGAGATTCAACCAATTCTTTTTCATGCCCCATAAATAGATCAGAATGAGGGAAAAAAAGCAGTGTAGCATGGAAATGCACCTTGTAGGCAACTGCCATATGATATAATAGTATGTCATATCATATCAATCATATATCATGTAACATCATATCAATCATATAGTATCCTTTATAATTGCCTAAGGCTCATGGCCATGTAAAGAGATAATATATGTGATTTTTAAGCAGGTCTCAGTGACAATTGGCCATTCAGTTATTCCGTGTCCCATTAGCACATCCTTGTGGTAGAAGCTCTGATGAAGTTCCAGGTGTACAAAAAATTCTCACATACTCTTCCTGTTTTAGGGAAGAGGGTAGCAAAAAAGATGAGAGGACTACCTGTCTAGACACGAATGTACAAGAATTTTTCATTGTTGTTGGAAACAATGTGGATAGCACGCTCCAATTCTGTGTACAATCACAATGTCAAGGAGTGCATGTGTGTGCTGGAGGCAGCAGTGCAATTAGAGCACATTCAAATAGTTGCACTGAGGTTACATGCCTGTGGCTGGGGGGGACATGCCATTACTAATCCAGCTCTTGGCTGGATTACCTTTGAAAAATAAGAAATTGATTCCTCTTCCACGTGTGAAAAGCTTTTGGCCCTCTCGAGTCCAGTTTAATGTTGCATCTGGGCTGAAGAGAAAGAGGGTAATGAAGCCTTCACATCCTGTCTGGCTTCCTGCAGGCTTGATCAGAGGAGAGAAAGCCATTTGCCAGGAGCTTTCTAGAGGGATAAAGAGACTGGAGCAACCTCCCCATGCGTTTCTGAAATGTGCTGGGGTGCATTTCTAGAGCTACATGCCAGGTTCTGATCCCACTGGGCATGATTAGAAATGACACCTGCAGTGACACTTGAAAACAAGCCCACTTTTCTCAGTCCTTCAGCCCAGTTCTGAGACAAATGTTCTCTCTCCTTTCTATCCTCCATAGTTTTCAGATCTTGTTGCTGGAGTGAAATCAGAACCCACTGCTCAAGCTCCAAACTGAGGTGTTTGGCCATGAGATTTTTCTTTTTTAAATTTTGATGGACATACAGAAGTCTATACATTTAGGACAGAAATGAAGGCATTGATATTGTGAATTCTGGTATCAGTTGGGGCAATGTTCTCTTGCACATCTGTTCTGCCCACAGAGCTTTCTGAACAATATTTATCTCCTTCTCTGGGATGTTCAGCTTCCAGTCATGTCCCCAAGGATTTTTACATTAGGGCAACTGAGCAGTTGAGGTGTGTTTTATCAAGGGAATTGTAACATTGCAAGTGAATTAGAATAAAAAAAAAATCCAAGGATGAAAAAATCTTTCTTCCTCATTGTAAGAAACTGTTTTATTTCAGTTGTCTCTTTTCTCACCATCTCAGTTCCGTATGCATATGGTTAACTTTTCCTTTGTGCCATTTGGAACCAAGTTTCCAGTAGAAAGAGAAAAATGTAAGTAAAAACATAGTTAAGTGGGTTTACCCAAACCCCACTATGAATTGAAACTCATCCCTTTTCCAAATCTGTCACTTCTTCTTCCTTGACATAAATTACATATTCAGTAATTCACTTATTTTAGCACTCCCATTTCTCCCAAGTTGATGTAGCTCCAAACTTTTGAAACCCAGACCATAATATTTCTTACTTTTCTCCAAATACTCTTAGTTTCTACTTTCTGCTGGCACAGATGAATGTGGTGCAAGCAAAATGCTCCTGCTCAGTAGAATCTGATGGTGGCCCTGTCCCACTGATGGCCATGAAGGGAGGAATGCTGTAACCTGCTCTAAACATACTTAGCTGCCTTCCAGCTGTGAGTTTATCATGCCATGTTTACCAGTACACTGGGAGACTATTTATTATCCTCAGTGTTAATAGTCCTTTAAATTTTTCCTAGCTTTGTACAGGAGGAGATATTTTCAACATTTCAGCATTTGAAGAAATGTATTTTCAGCTTTTCTAAATTTCTTAAAAGAATGACAGCTATAAAAGTGTTTTTTTAAAGAAGTGGTTGGTTCAATTTAAATTCAAAGATGTTTGTTTTCAGGCTTGTAAGAAGTGAAGTCTAAAATTGAGATATATTTTTGAGTGATACAGAAATACTGAAAGATAGTCCTAACAGTCTGGGAATTGAATGTGCATTGACTAATTGTATTGCATTTTTTTCTCATTTGGATGCTGACTCAGACCACTCTCTCAAAAAATTTCAAATCCACTTCCACATGAAAAATGCGTTGTTTTGTATCTATTAACTCCCAAGCACTGAGAAGAGTTTTTGACTTAGAGCTTCATAAATCACTGGACTGGCTTTGAAATCTGTGTATTAGGACACACTTTTAAAGTACACAAAATTTGTATTGTCAAACTGTTCTTCTCCAGCTTTGAAATAAGTTTTTTTTTCAGTTATATTTAGTTGTATTCTAAGGGTGTGGTGCTCATAATGCCATGAGCATGGGATTTGGTAATGAAGAAGTGAAGCATCAATTATTGAAGCTTGGAAAAGAACTGTAAAATACTGCAGTCCTTGGACTACTTTACATATGACATCACATTGAACAAATTGTTTAATAGTATGTTTGTTTAATGTCATATGTTCGTTCTTCTAAAGCTTTTGAAAATTTTACCTATTTTATAGTTTCTGCTTTTATAGAGCTTAGAAGTTGCTGTCCTAAGACAGGACACCAGACTAGCTTCTGCAGAAGAAGAAGAACAAAAAGTGGCCCAAAGATTTTAATATCTAGTCTTTTTGATGTAATGCTCTGCCACCCACGTTGTCTCCTTTCTGTGTGAACTGTGGTGACAAGTCAATAGATCATAGAAAGCATGTATCTAGTGCATGTATCTTCCTTTTCAAATTGCATAAAATTAATACATGGGCTCATTTACGATTTTAATTATATTTTAAAATTATTTACTATATTTAAAGAAAAGGGAAATTTACTACAGACATTTGGTATTCAAAATCTGCATTCAGGATAGTGTTACCACAAAAATTTGGAGTCTGGTGGAGGGAGATAGTCTATTACTGTCTAAAATTGTTGAATCATGCTTGTCTCATTCTTTGTTTTATAAAAACTACTACTTCGGCCGTTGATGACATGCTTGAACTATAAAAAATCTAAAATTAAAATCTGACTAGATTTATTGACTAGATACAGGATATGAACCATCATCTTTTCTTGTAGTTGCTCATAACAGATGCTTGAAGAATAAACATGACCCTCCATAGCCTTGTCTTTATTTAGAGCCTTGGATAAGAATTTCAGCAGTGCTGTTTTTTAATCTGTAAATTATAAAATGACCCTCAAATGCATGAAGCAGATGGTATAAAATCTAGGTATAAAATATTTTGGAAGTAGAACTGTTACTGCAGATAGGTCAGATAGGGTGATATTTAATGTTGTCTTTTATCAGCAATTCAATTTTGTCATGAAGATGCATATTTCCTGAAATACTGGTGGCTCACTTTATTTATTCATACCTTGCAAGTTTGGCTGCCTGTGATTAAGCTGAGTGTTTCCTAGAGGATTTATAAGGCATTTCTAAGTCCTCATCAAACATTTTCTATTGGCTTTTGAATAGACATCCAGTAAATCACAGAGGAACTATGACCAAATGTGTCTGGCTCAAGGTTCTTCAGTGTAGACTGAAAATTATGTTTAAAACTTCTGAAGGAAGAGAAAGAAGGCAGTCAGCACAAAGCAAAGCATTCATTGAAAGCATGTCTATACTCCTGAGCCAAACTGAGGTTTGTGTCTTGTTATGCCCCCTCCCATGTAATAATTCTGTAAAGAGTAATAAGATTAACAGGCTTTTATTTACTCAAAAGTAGAAGTGCCATTCATGTTTTGTCTGAGTACCAGGTAATGTGTTGGTAAGCATTGTGGTGTTATTATTATTGATGTAAAATTGCTCTCTGGAGATTTAAAAAACTTTTTTCTCTAATTAAAAAAATAAAAGGAAAAATTGGCAATAGCAGTCATTGTGGTTTGGGATTAAAGAGTACTCAAAGAAACTATAATTAAAGTGTGATTTTTGCTATAACATTGGCCATATAAGATCGGGGACAATGATGGTTCATGTGGAACAGACTGGTAGAAATATACTTGGTCAAGATATTTTTATGGTTTTATACTGAAAATCTTTAAGCAATGTTTGGAATTTCACCTATTATATGTGTTTATATTTTGTCTTTTAGGGCATACAGGACGATTATTGAAATCTCTGTGTTTCACCAGTCTATCATTTCTGCTGCTGCACATCATCTTTCAGATTACAGTAAACAGTCTTGAAGCTGCAAAAACGATTGAACCTGGTTTTAACTGTGAGTAAAACATTTTCGTTTTTATTAGCGTTCTAAATGTCCAAATGCTTCAGTGGTTTGGAAGGTGAAGGGTTGATAAGAAAGCACTTAGCTTTGTGCTCCTGTGGGTTTGCAGCTTGCTCCTGTTTTCCAGCTTTTTACCTTAAAAATTACTGTTAGTAAGGCAGGAAGACTAGAAGGGCTTAAGAAACAAAAGAATTGTATATATAACTTATATATATATATAAATATTTTTTCCCACCACAGATGCATTTTCTTTGAGTTTACCACTGACTATTTTTATGACTTTATCTTTTAGGCTTTCTCAAAATCACCTCAGAACCTGAGGAAACTACTCATTTGTGTCATTAGATCATAATTCAGTGAATTAGGAGTAAAATGAAATAAAGTAATAAACCTCACTCTATCCATGTATTATGCCCCTCTCTGGCATAACTCTCGTTAGTTTTTAATTTAATTTAACTTTAAATATTGATTCCAAAACTTATATTTTTAACAGTATTTGTCTCTCTCTTGCCTGTGTTGTATGGGAGGAAGAATTTTCAATATTTCATTTATGTGTAAGCTCTACTTAAAATATATTGCATGACATTTTGTATCTTCCTCTCTCAGGAAATGTTGTTCAATAATTCAGAAAGCAAACATTCTTTATTGTGCAGAAGTTAATTAAAATATCTATCCAGTGATTTAGATATGTAACCTCCAGGTAGAAACTATTTGTACTTGTCTTACCATGCTTACATTTAACATTTAAACCTGCCAGCTTACCTTTGATAAATGTCCATTTAATTTATCACAAGGTATGCTTCTGCCACTTGAGTAAACAGTTGTGCTGCAATTCAACACAAGAAACCTTATATGATATAAAGAATTTGACTTCAATAACAAAATCGTAAGGAAACTTGAAGTGAGCATTACCATTTCACCTTTAGCTTAAACCATTTCCTAAACTAAAAGGCATAATTGTGTTAGTAAAATACCAGTTTCACCTGGAATATCTTGGGCTCTATTGGTTCAAATCAGGCCTTCAGAGTCCAAAAATACCCTTTCTCTTTTTTTCAAAAATGGTGTCTTTCACTGAGTGAGCTGAATTAATTGTTTTCCATATGTGTTTAATGTTCTTGTGACTATAAAGACATAATTTTTACTTAAATTGGAGTAATTGCATCATCTAGTCACATTTGTATGAGTGGAGAGCTCCAAGACAGTTGCAACCACTGGCTTTTTCCTCCTTTTATGGTGGGAACTGGGGTCTGCAGTGGGAATTAAAATTATTATTTCATCCTGAAGAGATGAAATTGAGAGAGATTTCACTCTTCAAGAGGAAATGTACCATTTTTTACTGTTTATTCACGGCTGTGGAGTGTAGCAGCTCCTCTTTCAGCTGCCATTAGTAACAATCTCCTTACCTGGGGCCTCACAGGGCAGTGGCTGTAGCTGTAGGAGCTCATTAAATGTTATCAGATTTCTCTCTGACACCAAGGCCCCTTGACATGACATTCACACACACTCACCATTAAGCTCTTTTTGCCTCCTGCGTGCAAAGGGTGGTTTGAAGTTTCCTGTTGGTATTGTTATTTGTCCCAAAGGAACACCCAAACTGTGCCCAAGCTGTCTGGGAGAGAAGTTGTTTGACCAAAGTTGTTCCAAGAGTTTTTAAACTGTTTTAGCAACATGAAATATTCTCTTGAATTTCAGTGCCTGAATACTGAGTGAACTGGCACCATTTTGTTTACTGGAATGGTTAGAGTCAGTGAGATGCAGGTGAAGCCAATAAAAAGGGCAATCTGATACTGGCATTGCTGGATACCCAAGGTGCTGAAGGAGAAGTTAAAGACTTGTTGTGAATGTAGAGGCTAGAAAAGGCCAAAGCATTTGCTAGGTCAGGGAATAAGGTCAATTATTCTCATTTAACGACACCAGAACTTGGATGTTACTGTGTGGCTGAGGAGAAGACAATTCCCACTCCAGAAAGCACCTTGGTAGTACTTGTGCTTGTAGCAGTTCAGTGACACAGCCCCACTGGTTTCCTGTTCCCCAGCCACATGAAGAGTGCTGTACTAAACTGGCTGCAGATGTGGGCTGAGCCATAGCTGCAGAAATGACAGCGCTTCGCCTGTGGCATCTGCACAGTGTTATGATCTCTGCATTTTAGACTTGCTGTTAATGTTTATCCAACTCTTTTTGCTCAATAAGAAGTTCAGAAGTGTAGACTGGAAGATTGATGTGTTCTGTTTCTCTATACAGATCCAGATCCACTATTAATAAAACATTTTTTACAGCTACAGTCTTTTCTGATGCTTATCATTAGGAAATTTTTCTTCCATTAGTCAAAATATCCTGTCTTCATCCTTCAGCCTGATGTGGAAATAAAGAAAAACTTCCCGTTAGTCTTTATGGTTACTCATTTTGTATTTGAAGGCTGCAGTCATATTTGTTGTATGTACTCTTCTCTCATTCTCTTCTATTTACACAACCTCAGCCCCTTCAAATTTTCTAGAAAGAAGTTTATTTTTATTGCTGTTGGTCTATTTCTGTTTTCTCCAAGTTTTTCAGGTATTTCTTGAAGCTCAGTGTCCAAAGCTAGGCACAAATTCAGCTGAGAATTTAATAGTGTACACGGAAATATAACAATTACCCAAGTGTCTGCAAGTCATACTCTGTTTATGAATTACTGTATGGAAGTTTTTGCAATAGTCTCACACTTTCTGTGATTCACTGAAACTCACAAATATTTTTCTTTAAAATAGACCATTTTTTTCAATCCCATTTTTATGTAGATGAGTATTCTTACAGTGTAGTAGAAGTTGATGTTTGCCTGTTTTTTTTTCCCAGAAAGTTTTATTTATCAAAACTGTTCTATCTCCTTCTTTGGTAGCGGCTTCTCTTATAGGAGTGGCCTTCTGCAATAACACCTTTAAGGAGTTTCGGATAAATTAAGTTTTGGATTGTCCTTTAAATTTAATATTTGTTTTGATTTTGCTGGAATAGTAGTATGTCCCCAAGTTTAAGTAAATTAAACCATAAAAGGAGCTAGTGGATGTTATGGCAGGTCCCCTCTTAATTATCTGCCAAAGGTCATGGGAGCCTGGGGAGGTCCTCACTGATGGGAAACCAGACAGTGTTATTCCAATTTACAAAAAGGGCATGAAGGAAGATCCAGGAAAGTACAGACCTGTTATCCTAACCTCAGTTCCTGTTATTCTAACCTCAGTTAAAGATTACCTGGAAAAAGTATATAAAAGATTATATTAGTTACTACTTAAAGGTATTTACAGGACAATGCAGTCATCAGGCACGGTCAACACAGGTTCACAAAGGGAAACTCGTTTGATATCCTGATTTGGTATCCTTCTGTAGTAAAGTCACCTGCCCAGAGGATGAAGGGAAGGTGGTAGATGTAGATGTATTTTTCCTAGATTTTAGTAAGGCTTTTGATACTGTCCTCCTGGAAAAATTGTTCAGTAGGTTCAAGATGTACTTGGTTGATGACCTGGCTGAAGGGCAGGGCTTGAAGGGTTGTGGTGAATGGGGCCACAGGACCCTCAGGGCTCAATTCTAGGGCCAGTCCCATTTTCAATGTATTTATCACCAATCGGGATGCAGTTGAATGCACCATTAGGAAATTTGCTACCAACAGTAATCAAAGTAGGAGGTGGAGTCTGGGACAAGATGCCTTGCAGAGGCCTTTGTGTAGTTAATCTAACTCCTGGCAATTTCAAAAATAGGTGAGAGGGCAGGACAACATTGTCTGCAAATTCTGTCAGTTAGTTTGTCTCAATATTTTCAAATGACAATTTTTTGAATCAAAATATCAGTTTCTGGTTTTAGTTTTGCTTTTCACACTGCTGTATTAAAGCCTCTGATAATATTTTCATTTTGGTAACAGAAATACTTGAAAAATGTTTAAATTAGAGGTGTGATAAAGACTGTCACCTCTTAAACCTTATACAGTTCCATTTTAGAAGTGAAGAACAACTATCCTTTTATCTTCTATATCTGCAAACACAAACCACACATACAGAATTTCAGATCCATTTCAAAATATTCTACTATTTCCCTGGACTGGTATAATTCAAGATCAGTTTAGGATAATTCCTAGAATGTTTAACTTCTTTGGTTTGTTATCCTTTTTATCCCCTTCTTCTTTTAGAGTTCATATACCTTCTCTTTCAGGATGGCTACAAAATGCTACAGCATTCCCATAATTACGTTGTTCGGTTGACAGAGTTGTTTAAAAATGTTTGGCCAACAGAAGGTTCTTGTTTCTTAAGAGCCTTGTGACTATTGCCTAGCAGTAATAAAATTTTGCTGTTAGTAGTCTTTATTTAGCTTAATGAAAGATTTCTGGTTAGCCACAACTTTAGTGTGTAGAACTAACATTGAATATCTCCTAGATATAGAAAGGAAAAGAATTAATACAGAAAGGGTGAGCTGGGCTAATCTTAAGCTATTAATAGCTGCATAACTAGTCTTGTTTTCACTGATATATCCATATAATAGATAGTATGATTTTGAAATATAGCAGTATTCCTGCAGTAATGGAATTATTAAGTTTGTATTTCTGATGGAATAAAACTCTGTTTATAAGATTAGGTAACATTTTTTTGAGAATCTGTTAGGCAGGCAGTTGAAGATTAGATCACAGGGTAATAGTTGCATTCTCCAGTATGCACAGTATGTTTCTTTCCAGTATATCTCTTCTTTTCTGGGACTAGTTTTAAATATCTTTATAAATGGCAATACCACTAGCAGGAATGCTTTCCACAATGTTAATTTTAAACTTTACTTCCAATAAATTAGTGCAATTGTTCCTCATCATAATACTCTGTGAATATACACACTGTGTAAGTGTATCTTCTTGTGTTTAGTCAGCCTTTAAAATGTCTGGTTTCTTTTTCCCTTAATTATAGTGATATACATCCATTTCTTATTCTGTGTGCCTCTGTCATCTCTTGGTCCTGACTTCTGTGAATGAATCTACTGAAATGCTTATTCTC